CTAAATTTCATTCTAACACTAAATTCGATAAAAAATATAAGAGGTGGAGATATCGCCACTGGTGAAAAATGCTAAAATTCTTTATTTAATTGTAATTTAAAAAAAATATAAAAAAGATAATATATGTTATTTTTAGATATTATCTGAAATTGAACTATTTTGGATGTTACCTCATCAAAGAAGACAAAAAAATTGGTTTTCTAAAATTTTGTAATTAATTCTGTTACCTATATATAATATTAATACAATATATTAATATATAATTTAAATTTTAGATACTACAAAGTTTCTATTTATGAGCTTAAAAAATATGTAAAAAGTGTTGAAAATAAAGAAAATTTGCCTTCTAAAATTTTGGAAATTTCTAAAATTGAAGATTCTAAAAATGAATTGGAAAAAAAAATTGAAAATTCTGAAACGAAATTAAGACAGCAAATAAATGAAGTACTAGAACAAAATTCTGAAAAAGAATTAAAAGCTCAAATAAATCAAGCACTAAAACAAATTAATAAATTAATTGAGCTTACTGAAAAAAAGAATAAAGATAATACTTCTTCTGGCTAGTAATTTGTATTTATAACATTTCTTTGTTGCTATTTGTTTGATAGTAATATTATAGAAGAAGAGTATTATGAAGAAATTTTAATTTAGCTATTATTTAGTAAATTGTTATTTATTTTGGTTCTATTTAATTATTTTATTTATTTTATTATATATTTCTTATAGTGCTTGTTTTTATTGTATTTATATTTAAATAAATATTTATTAGAAGCTCAACAAATTGTCATCAACTTGCAACTTAAATTTTTATTAATTAAATTAAGCAACTATACTATCTAATTTTAAGTTTGACCAATTTAATATTTTTTTGATGATTATCTTTTAAAGCCATAAATAAATGAATATAACAGATAATTCATTAGACTCGTTAGGAATTTGCTATTTCCGCTTAATGCCTGTTTATAGAAATAAAATCATATTCTTACTTTGGTTGGGAACCAAGTACTGATCAGTGCTTTCGAAAAACATTTTATCTATTTAATATGCTAATCCTATTAGGATTAAAATAAATAAATTAAATAGAT